TACAGTATCAACAACCTCTTTTATCATTTTTAAACTTCTTTTATCACCTAATAAAGCAGTATGGAAGGCATTCATACAATAAGCAAAACTAATTTTCAGTTCTTCATTCCATAAAAACATGCTTCCACCTGATCCGCCCCATCCAACTAATTCAACATCCTCTAATCCTTCCAATTTAAAATATCCAAATCCACCAATTGATGTTGGGAAGGCTTCTTGCAATACATTGTCAAATTCTGGTGCTAATTTTTTTGTTACAAGTTTAAAAGTTTTTGATGACATTAAATCAGGTTCTTTTAATAAAAATTTACTTTTATTATTGTTTTTGTTTTTGATTGGTAATGATTTACCACCATTTGCCATCATAGCACCTAATTTTGCCATTGATCTAGAATTGGTGATTCCATTATAACTTGGGCCCTCAGGTTTCAACATTTCCAAATTATTCCATTCTTGTGGTTGAGATTTATCAGGTGAAGTCATGACCAATGTTTTAAAAGCAGTACTTTCACTGTTCATCATTTCATTAAATATCTTGTGTAAAGGTTCCTTTATCATCCATTGAGGTAACAATATTTTACTAAAAAGACGTAGTAATGGGTAGGTGTAGATATTGGAGACTCTTGTTTCATAAGCAGATTTCAATTTATCATTATTATCATTGTTATTGATGTCAAATATGGAATAGTAAAATTCTAAATTATAAATAGGCATAATCTCTTCTTTAACTATCCGTCCAATTGTACGATGTCTTGGATCTACTCGACGAACAATTTCATTTAAATACCAACCACGACTAACTCCATGATAAGCTTTGGTTGGTTTACCATCAAAATTGTGAGGTTGGTTGGCCAAAATTTCAGATAATTTATCAAGATCATGTAAATCTCTATTACTGATTTGATGTGAATCAATATATCCTACTCCAGCTTTATGTGTTACCAATTCTAGTAATGTCACATTCTCTTTATTATTTTGTGCAAATCCTGGCCAATATTTGGAAACCTTTTCATTATAATCTAATAATCCTTGTTCTACAAGTCTAGAAATTACAATTCCAGTCTGTTT